CCCCGGAGATCCTCGAGCAGTTCGTGAATTTCAGGTGCGCCAACAAGCGCGCGTGCACGTCGGGCCACAACAGCACCGACGCCCAGGCCTGGCAATGAAAGATGGCCGAACGGGTTGTCCAGAGAATCGTGGACCTACGCCGGCGCCTGAGACGTCCGCGCGAGGCGACTTAGGTTCGCGAGTGCGATGTCGATGCGGCGGCCTGTCCAGCAGTGGCCTCAGGGGCCGCCGAGGGAGAGAACGGGGTTCTCATTGGCCGCTGAGCTCTACACGCGCAAGGCGTGCCGGCGCAATGTGCGACTGGATTCGCCTTTGCACTCCCGCGACCCGCCCACCTGCCGGCGCCCTCGCAGTTCCCGAATCCACGAGGAACGTTCCGGCTGCTGCGGGGAGAAAGATCGCGACCATCCAACGCGCGCCCGCGAGTTCAGTCAGTGTAGGCTCGCGGACCCCCATGTGCGGCCACGCCCACGCACTGGCCAACATCCACGTGCATCAGCACGACCTGGAGGACCACGCCCTACCAGTGATCAACAGGGTGAGCTACCTGGGGGGGCCGACCTCGGAGCAGTATGACGAGGCAGCACTGCCGGCGGCACCGTCCAGCACGCCAGGAGCCAGCTCATCCTCCAGCACTGTAGATCAGGGCAGTGGGTCCAGCAACTGCGTTGCTGGCCCACCACTGCGAGCCAGCCCATCAGCCGGCGCCAGCCCCGAGACGGTCAGCGCCACGAGCTGCCGACGCTGCAGTAGGCAACCCGACGCTTGCAGACCAGATTCGCTTCGACATGGCCGCGCCACCGTGAGATTTGCGCGACGTCTCGCACGAGCTACGGATGCAACAGCTACGCATGCTATATCTCCAACGGTGGCACGCCACTAAGGAGGAGATGGTGCGTGCACTGCGTGCAGCCAACATGCCACAGGCAATCCTGGACCTCATCCCCACAGTGTCAAAAACTGTCGAGAATACCGTAAGTGGCTACCACCAGCACGTAGAATGCAATATCTTGGGCTACAAGCATCGCGTGATATTGCGCCTGTTTGCCGCGCCTCCAGATGGCACGACGGCCGAGAGATCGCGGACAGATGCGATTCAAAATTGCTGGCAGCAGTGGACAGGTCGCGTATCCCGCTGTTCGGATGAACGGAGACTGCGTCGTTGACGGCGAAGGCGGGGTGGCCTCCAAGTCCGAGTATTCACTTCGTATGGGGAGATGAGGAGGAGAGGAGCTCAGGTGGACATCCGTGCTCCACGCCTGCACGCTCGTTTCATGGCGCGACGCGGTGCAGTGTTAGGACGCGCGCTAGACGCCTCCGAGGAGCAGCTAGAGCGCGAAGGCATCGCCGCGCGTTGCGCCCGGCAGCGTCGTCTTCGGCACGCAGCCTTGCGTGCCCCCACCACTCGAAGCAGACGAGGAGGGCGAGGGAGATTGCGTGGCACGGAGCCGGGCCCGCTGCCAGCGGCGAGATGCAACCCAGCCAGTTGCAGGAGTACATCCGTGATATCGCCTTGCAGCGCAAAATTAAGACCACTTCGTTCGCCCGCGTCATTTCGGGCCCCCCCGACACGCGCCACCGAGACCCGAGCGGGGCGCTTCGACGTGGGCGATCAGTTGGGGATCCACCAGCTTCCTAGCACGAAGGACGTGTCAGGCTGGGCAGGTCCGGGCACCGCGTATGGGCACTGGCATGGCGCGAGCAGGCCTGGCCTGGAATCGCGCGGAGGACTTGGTAGAACATTTCGCGCAAGGCTCAGGGGCGAGGATCTTGGGCCATCGGGAGGACGAGCAGAACAAGCAGCTGACGAGCAGGCTCGGCAATTTCCTGCGGTTCTCGATGCTCTGCGCCACTTGATCCGCATATATTTCCCCTTGCCAGACGTTCGTGCCGCGCGTCTCGTTCGAGGTCGGAAAACTGACGGCGACTGGCCAGGCTGCAACCGCAGTCTGGTCATCTGGGGCCCCTTTGGGGCCCGAGCGAGGTCCGCCGCCTGCGCTTGGGCGGCGTCGAGTTCGACGCCCGCAGCCTCGTCGGCGAGCAGTAGATGGGGCGTTCGCATCATCCGGTGCGTCGCGGGCGACGAACAGGCGCTTGCAGCCGACGCCCGGCAGGGTCAGGGCGGGGCGCTGGATGATTGCGTCATCGACGTTCCCGAGGGCGCCGCCAGAGTCAGCGAGGGTTGTTCACCGTCACTCTGATACCCGAAGAGACCAACAGCGACTTCCCTGGCTACATCCAGCACGCGATGTTGGGAGCTTGATAGGAGGTGGAGGGCGCCGAGGATCTGGCCCGGGAGCTGCAGGAGCTGGAGGCCCCAGCAGCCGGCATGGCCCGAGCTGCCGTCGAGCCCGCGGCCGCCAGCGTAGGCCGCAGACCATGCTCGGGGGGAGGGCGAGGAAGGAAAGCGCGCGGATTATACTTGGACCCAGGAGTGCGAGAAACATTTTTGAGCTGCCACGAGGGCAACTATGTTGAAGGTGGCCCCGCCGCAGCCATGGTTCAGGCCTACGCCGCCGCTAAGACCGCGGTAATCAATCGCGACGCCGACCACCTGACCAAAGTGGAGGCGCGGTGCCGCCGCCGTCCTCGCCATCTGGGTCAAATACAAGTGTTTCGAGCGACGCCCTCTCGAAGGCGCTCGGAACGCCGCGGGCCCCAGGCGCGCTTGACATGGGAGCGCCGGAAGGGATCGGGCGACAAGACCACCGGGGTTATCCGGCGCTGTGCTGCGCTGAGGGGCTTCCGCGACGCGGGCGTTGGAGCCTGCCAGACGTTCGCAGGTGCGGCAACACGGGCGTCTTAGCGCATTCTGTCCTCAGAGAGGACTTGTCGTCCGAACAGGGCTCGCGTCGCCGTGGGCGTCGAGGGAACTTTCTTGCGGGGCATGACCCGTGCCGAGATGCAGGGGCGGGGCGAGGCGCCGTGAGAGGTGGCCTTCGCCCTGCCGCCCTGCAGCGTTGCTGTCCCCAGGCAGGCCCCAGGCTGCGAGTCCTTCGACGCGCGGACCGAGCGCCTGCGCCGCGTCGAGCTAGGCGCGGGATAGGCCCGGATTTCGAGGTCAAGCACGCGGCGGCCGGCGCCCGTGGCGCCGGCCCCCCAGAGTAAGTGCTTTCGCTTTCCAAGCGCGCCGACGATCTCAAGATCTCAGGGCGCAGGGAGCACGTCGACCGCCTCGTCGGCCGCGTCGAGAGCGTCTTTTCAATGAAAAAGTCGACTGCGGCGACTTTAACGGCGGCGCCCGCCAACGCCGCAGCGCCGGCGGCCGACGCCTGACCAGGACGAGTGCGTCGACGCGCTGGCCCCCGTCCAGGCACGTCGACCCGGTGAGATCGAAGGCCGACGATTGGCCTGCGGTCCTTCTGGATCTCTTTGTCTCCCTCCTCGGAGCAGCTGCTTATGCGCCGCTCGCGCGACGCCGCGTTGCCGCCTGCGTCGTCGGGCTGCAACGGGCTAAGAACAATCTGCCCACCAGGCGCATCGTGCAGCTCAACTCCGTAGTTCTGGCCACGCAGAGGGTCGAAGCGCCCGCAAGTCTGCCCGGAGACGGGGCGCGCGGGCCAGATCTGCGCACGCAGCGACGGTTCCTTCGACTTCGAGGGGGAGCTAGGATACGGCATGAGAGGCGTCGTTTTGACGCGTCCGGGCAAGTGCCGCAGCACTGGCAGCCAGGTCTGCCACTTGCGTGACTCCATGAGCCGATCGCGCAAATTCGCGCGCGAATCTTCATTCGGCTCCGAGCTGCTCGCAGCATGCGGAGCAGCAGATGACCCACAGGCGCGCCAACTCGCGCTCCACCAGGCGGCGCTCGGGCCCGCCTAGGCAAACGAGATCGGGGGGCTGGGGCGGGGGGGGGGTGCGCTGTGCCGGCCGAGCTGGTCGGGGACGGCGCGCCCGTCTTCTCCGCGTTGGCCATGGGCCGCGCGCGGCCGCCATCGGATTAGCATGGCAGGCCGCCTGCGGTGGTTAGCAAACCACTTGCGCACCAAACAGCAGTCCGACACACTGTGCTGCGACGCCCGCGGCGCGAGGGCCGACCCCATGGCGAAATTGGGCATCGGCCAGGAGCTCATCTTAGAAAACGCGGAGGGGGAGCTCGCCTACGCGCACCCCGCGGTGAGGTTGAGCGAGGAGCGGCACAAGAAGACAGCACCGAGCTCCAGCCACAGCAATTTCGACAAAGACAACGACGACGGGTGACCAACTCGACGTCGCATGTCCGAATTGAGTTCGCACGCGACGCAGTGAGCCACGCCTCTAGGGGGTGCTTTCTCGAGTCATGTTCGAGAGGCAGCCTGTGAGTTTTCAGACTGCGTGTGCTGCCAACCGTCAGCAGAAGGTCCCAGGCATTGTGATACTATGTGGGTATCAACGGGCTCGGTCGTTGAGCGAATGCTCGATTTAGCGCTGCGGTGGCAAACTCTGTTCGCTAAGCAGTAGCTGTTATTTCGCAAGTTGCGCTTTCGCATGTCCCAGCCATTAGTTTTGTTGATGACGGGGCGTTTCGTAGAGCCTTGTCTTCATTGTACCTGGCAGCTGTTCATGAGAAGGGCGGTCCAGATAGCCTTGCCGTCACGCGGCGCGACGGATTCGCTGGAGCACCAGATCCGAACGGTAGCTTACCTGTCCAGTGCCCTGTTGCCTGCTTCTCTCACCCCGTCCTTGCCTGTGGCTATGGGGTTGGTTTCCGCTGCCATTTACAGGTTGCAGCCCCCGCGCCCGCTCCGACTACAGTGGCGTCCGCAGAGGGGCCGTGGCTTTGCCAAGCTAGTTGCTAAGCGCAAGTATTTGTTCGCTCTTCCAGATTCTCTCCATCCCGCTCCCAATCCTGTACTCCCCCCTCCCCCCACACTCGCCCGCTCATCACCCTTCGCATCATCACGTGCCTATTATTATGATTACCATTCGTTCCATCATTCGCCGTGGTACCATTCCGCATACATTATTCTTTTCCCAGCTCGGGACAGCCCATCCCCACGTCTTGCCATTGTGGAGAAAAGGGTTCGGACATAAGGAGGCGTGCCCATTTCTTCCCTCCACTGCAGCTGCCTTATTTCCACCTTCCGCACTGTGGCAGGCGACTGTAATAAGTCCCCTGTCGTGACCTTGCAGGCACAGCGACGGCTTCGGGCCATAAATTTTGGCGAAGCATCGATGTCGGGGGGTGCGATGGTGCTCCCAGCTGCTTACTTTCTAGTTCGCATTTGCAGAGAAGCATGCTTTCCAGATTTGTCGTTGGGTTGGAGGAAGAGAGGTGCCAAAGGAACTGCTGGAGGTACGGAGTGGGCGAGGGATAGAGGCTGATGGGGAGGAGGGCGAAGAAGAGAACGATACGTCTGTCGTAGGTGCATGTTCTCTCGACTTCCCGCTGGTGTGGAGTGCGCAAAAAATACTTGTTCCCTCTTCGTCAATAGCGTCTCGCGAATCGCCGCTCTAAGAATGCAGGTGGACCGGAGTTCGGACTGCGGTGTGCAGTCGTTGACCTTCGCTGCGGCTAGCCAAGCCGCGTCCATCCCTGGGTTCCCTGGGAGGAAAGCGAAAAGGCGAGCTCGGAGGGGGGGAAAGGGCACCCATGCGTTGGGTGCGTCGAAGTCCCCGCGCAAAACAGCCTGAGCGAAGGCCAGAAAACCAGGGGGAGGGGCAGGAGGAGAAGAAGGAACGAGCACGGGGGGAAAGGAGAGGGGGAGGAGGGAGAAGGGAGAGGGGGAGGCGGGGTTGGACAACCCTGACCCAATGTTTCCTTCTCCCCCGTCCTCCAAACGTCCTCATACCCCCTCCTCCCGTACTCCTACCCCCCATCCCTCCTCCGCCTTTACCTCCTCCTCCTCCTCCTCCCTCCTTTTCCTCCTGGGCTGTTGGGGGATCCGACAAGCTAGTAACAGTTGGCGGACTCGTTGGCTTTTCAGCGCCTGGTTCTGGTATTGTACGCCCACATATAACCAACTACGTTACGCGCTGCCCGCTACATGCCTGTGCTCGCAAGGCTCCCGGTGGACAGTTCACCTCCTGCTCTTCCGCCTCCTCTTGCTGCTCCTCCTCCTCCTCCTCCTCCCTGCTTGCTCTCCTCCTCCTCCTCCTCGTGCTCGTTATCAGTTACATCCTCCTCCTTCTCTTCTCCTCCTCTCCTCCTCCTCCTCCTCCCTCCTCCTCCCTCCTCCTCCTCCTCCTCCTTCTCCTCCCTCCTCCTCCTCCTCCTCCTCATCCTCCTCCTCCTCATCATCATCTTAATCATCACCATCACCATCATCATCAGCATCATCATCCTCATCGTCGTCGTCATCATCGCTATCATTATCGTCATCATCATTATCATCATCATCATCCTCAACAACATCTTCATCATCATTACCATCATCATCATCATCATCATTATTATCATCATCATCATCATTCTCATTACCATCGCCCCCATCCTCATCAGCATCATCACTATCATCACCACCATCATTCTAGCCAGCATCACCATCATCATCATCATCATCATCATCATCATCTCCATCATCATTCTCATCATCATTCCCATCCTGATCTTTATCATCATCATCACCACCATCATCGTCATCACGACCGTCATCCTCACGAGCACACTATCACCGTCATCAGTTTCAGCATCCTCATCATCACCACCATCAGCATCATCTTCATCAGCATCCTCATCATCAGCATGGTCATCATTACCATGCTCGTCACAATCACCATCATCATTATCACCACCATCACCATCACCATCATCATCGCCATCACCATCACCATCCTCATCATCCTCATCATCACCGTCACCATCGTCATCATCGTCATCATCACCATCACAATCACCGTCACCATCATCATGATCACCATCAGCATCATCGTCATCTCACCATCGCCAGCACCATCATCAACATCATCATCATCAGTATCATCATCACCGTCACCAGGATCGCCATCACCATCATCACCAGCATCATCAGCATTCTCTTCATCAGCATCACCATCGGTATCATCTTCGTCAGCATTATCATCATCTTCAGCATCATCATCACCATCATCACCATTAACATCACCATCATCAATCATCAGCATCCTGATCATTCGCACCATCATCATCACCATCATCATCATGCTCATCATCACCATGAGCATCGCCATCATCATCATCATCATCATCATCATCATCATGATCATCGGCATCACCATCACCATCACCATCGTCACTATCCTCCTCACCATCACCATCATCATCATTTTCATCACCATCATCATTCTCATCATCAATCTCATCGTCATCATCATCATAATCAGCATCATCATCAAAGGCATCACCATCGCCGTCAGCATTATCAACAACATCATCATCATCATCATCACCATAATCACCATCACCAGCATCATTCTCGTCATCACCTTCCTCACCATCATCATCACCATTGCCATTATCATCATAATTCTCATCACCATTATCATCATCATCACCACAACGACCATCATCATCATCAGCATCAGCATCCACATCATCATCCTCATCCTCTTCATCATCATCACCAACATCATCATCTTCATCATCATCATCATCCTCATCATCATTATCATTACCATCATCAGAGGTCCAGCGGGGTGGAGTGGTACGCGGACCCAGTTGGGACCTCAAGGCTCCCTGCGTGGCTGCGAAGTGCGCAGCTGTCGCCACTTTCGTCGGCTCTTGGGAGGTCCAGCGGGTGGAGTGGTACACAGACCCAGTTAAGACCTCGCAGCTACCTGCGTGGCTGCGAAGTGCGCAACCATCTCCACGTTCGCGGGCTGCTGAGAGGTCCAGCGGGGTGGAGTGGTACGCAGACCCAGTTGGGACCTCGCTGCTCCCTGGGGGGCTGCGAAATGCGCAAGGGTTGCATCATCATCATCATCATCATCATCATCATCATCATCATCATCATCATCATCATCATCATCATCATCATCATCATCATCATCATCATCATCATCATCATCATCATCATCATCATCATCATCATCAATCATCATCATCATCATCATCATCATCATCATCAACATCAACATCAACATCAACATCAACATCAACATCAACATCAACATCAACATCAACATCAACATCAACATCAACATCAACATCAACATCGTCATCATCATCACCATCATCATCTTCATCATAGTCATAATCGTAATCATCAGCAGCAGCAGCATCAGCATCACAAGCATCATCATAATCATTATCATAGTCATCAGCATCAGCATCATCATCATTATCATCATGATCATCAATATCATCCTCCTCATCATCCTCATCATCATCACCATCACCAACACCATGACCAGCACAATCACATCACCATCACCATCACCATCATCATCCTCCTCGTCCTCATCATCATCAATCTTTCCCGCGCTCTCCTCCCTCCACCCTTTCCTTCCGTCCCCCCTCATTCCCCATCCTCCCCTTCCTCCTCGACTCGGAGGAGGGCCAGTTGAGACATCGGCTCTCCTGCACGGCCCAAGTCCGCCCAAAAGCGGCCCCAAGACCCCGCCGGGGCTCCATGCCGACACCGTTTTCGAGGCGGATCTGTCCGCGGCGACGAGAAGCTTCCGGCCAGGAAGGACGACGAATGCCAGGGAAGGCCGCCGTTGTCTCCACTGGCCCTCGCCCTCTTCCGGTCCCTCCCCCCCTCCCACCAGACGTGCGACGTCTTGATTTGTTCGACGCGGGGCCCTCGGAAGCCCCGGCCCTTCCCCGGGGCCGGCGCTCCATCCCGAGCCGTTTGGCCCCAGGGCCTGGCGAGGCCTCTTGGAGGCCGCAGGCTGTCCGAGCAAGTCCCGTCACGACGTCTTCGCAGCGCGAACACGTTTGGGTGCCCCTCGTTTCGGTTGCACTGCTTCAGGGGAGCGTCTGGAGCCAGAGACGCATCAAGGAAAAGTCAGCCAGTACGGTTGGGCGACACATGCGTGTGAAAAGGTGCCACCTGTAGCCACGACGGCTCGGCATGGCCTGTCAGAGAGGCGCCTCCTTCTCGACCCCTCCTCTCCCCCCCTTCGATCTAGGCCTCCCAGATGGGGTCCGAGCGGATGGGGTCAGAGGGTCGCGACGCATCGCCGACGCATCGGCGATGTGGCTCGATGTGAAGCCCCACTTTCTCCACGCTGGCGTCGCCGATGCGTCGCCATCGTCGCCGATGCATCGGCGATACACAGGCGACAATGACGCGATCCACCGACCCCATCTGCTCGGACCCCATTGTTTGAATAGGGGATAGACCACAGAACTGGTTTGCCCCAGACGTGCTTTTCTCCCCGGAGTTACGAAACCATGCGTGGCATGTTGTGCGAGCACTCCACGCAATCTTCGCACGCCCGACGCGAGAATCAGTCCTGGGGTGAACCCACTCGACTCGTGGGAGACCTCCGAACGTCGTGGGAGAGGAGGAGGAGGAGGAACAGGAGGAGGAGGAGGAGGAGCAGGAGGAGGAGGAGGAGGAGAAGGAGGAGGAGGAGGAGCAGGAGCAGG